ACAAAATGTTGATTAACTGGTTATTGAATCACACTTATTTTATATAAAAAAAATATTTATTGATTGATGTTTAATGGATGTAATCTTAACTATTTATAGATTTTGTATTTATGGTTTTTATAATAAAAACACCCAGTAAAATGAAAACGAAATATAATCATCAGCGTATACATGGTATACTTCGCCAATGAGGGGCTTGAAGCCTACTCCAAGTTAGGGGTGACTAGGCCATAGTCAACCACGCTAACTGGGATTGATTGACTGCACATACATCTTTGAATTTCTTCGCAGATATGTGCAGGTTGCATTACGATGTTTTTCTTCACCGTAAGAACGGCGAATAAATGTACATATTTAAATCGAAAAACTCATTGGTACATGGCCGGATTCAACCCAGGATCTGCAGTTTACAAGTCAAGTGTTTAACCCCTCCAACATCGATATTAAATAATTTTAGTATAATTTTACAACTATTTTTTTCTTCAATACTTATATGGTTATTAGGTCTTTTTATTTAAAGGTCATCAACATATCTGCGGTTTCTGAAGTGTTGCGGTTGTCATATTTAGTTTGACTTATGCTCACCGGGTGAGACAATCTTGTCGATCAATAATAGGAATAGATTTTTTTGGATTGACAAAATGTTTTTAATATTTAAAAATCATAGAATTGTTGTTAGAATCGTTTTGTTGCAGATATTAACTCGCATACGGATGTTATTAGCGTGCGTTTCCACTGATGCGGAACGAAGACGAATTAGCCTTGAGAAAGTTTTCACAAGGCGTAAAAGAAACCGGGGCATTATAATTATATAGCTTAAGTAGAACGAGCGGGTTGATTAAGTTATACTTTAATTTTACTCCTAGTTGGTACAGATATTTATAATATACTAGCGGACCCGACAGACGTTGTCTGACAATTTGACACTGCGAAATCAAAAACTACTAATAAATTAAAAATTAATTAAAAAAACATTGTCCAGCGGACAAAATTGTGAATCTAAACCATTCCCAGATCCCCTTGAACACACACAAAAAATTTTATCAAAATCGGTCCAGTCGTTTGAGAGAAGTTCAGTGACATACACACTCACAGAAGAATTATATATATAAAGATTGGTACGTTTTTGTAGAGTCTATATTTGTAGAGTCTACCCTCTGAGCTTTGTCTGGAATGTCTGTCTGGCTCTTATATAGTTTAATATACTCGTAGACCGAATTAATTAACCGAAAGACTGAAGTATCATTCGATTCAAATTCTTTTCCAAAGACATTAGCTTAATCGGGCCTTTGATCTTTTAAAGTAACTTTAGGTTATACTGTTTGTCTTTGCCTTTTATTATTATATCTACGTCGTCAGCTTTGCCTGTTTTAAAAAATGTATACTAAATTTACAAGTATTATTACTAGAATTTATTATTAAAATACGCCTTAAAGACATTATTTTCAATCAGTTTCTTTCCTAATGAAAATTACATCGTCACGGTAAGCAATGTTTTAAAAGATTCAAACGTATTCCAGAGACTCGGGGTTTAAATGGGAATTAAATTATCCAAGGAGTGCACTCAGATCGTTACAGCGAGATCTGGAGAGCCGCTTCTAGTGCGACTCTACTGCAAAATAAATACCCTTGTATTTAATTATTCTTTCTAGTAAGAACACAGTCGTGTTCTGAACTAAAAATAATCGTGAGCAGCTGGAACATTAAATTCAAACAGGAATTAAAACGTAATTGTATTCGTTAAGCTATTTTCGTTAAAATGTCGTTTCTTTTTTATTCTATGGTTAATTTAGTTCAATAACCTCTCAATGGTTGACCTCCACAACTCTACAATCTACAAAAGCTTCCTCAAAACATAATGCGCAAATCAATTATGATTTATAACTGTGTAGAACACACAAAATAGACATCGGAAATGAAGTCTGTTTTACTGTGTCGAGAGATTTCCGAGATTTAACCGCAAACTATTTAATGAGAGGCCAAACAATGTCTTTATATATCCAGGGTACTTTTTCTGAATAATTAAAATATTTTCCTCTTGTTGTCTTTCTCACACTTATTAAAAGCATCCTTTTCATCCAAAAAAATTGCACTATATGTCATAGTACATATAAATCCAACTTCGCATAAGCAAAATCTCTTAATTAAAGTTCAATACGTAGTTAAGATGGAACGATGATCCGGGATGCGAGTAGCACAGGACCGATCATGGTGGCAGTCTTTGGGGGTGGCCTGTAACCAGTACTTGGTCGTCATATAGCTGAAAAGAATAAGAAGAAGGTAGTTACATTAACTCGTATGCTCTTATATACTGTAAAATATATAATTTATATATAATAGACGTAAATAAACTCCCTATGATACTCTAGACAAGTAAACGAATCGAATGACACTTCAATTAAAATTCCGTAAAGCCTCTTTGGCTATTGGAGGTCACAATAAAATCATTACATGTTCGCGAAAAAAAAATATTCACAGATTTGCTGTTTCTGTTGACATTACTAAATATAGAGATTTAATATCGATAATACAGCGAAGATCCAAAACTTCCATAAAATGATTACATACAATTCGCACCTACGTTGTATAAACAGCTTTAGGATACATTTAGGAGGTCATTATGTCACGCCTTTTAACCACAAAATGCGAAATGCGTCAGTAATATATTCATTGTCAATAATTTTTTACTCAGAATTAGTTGTTTATCTTCATACAACGTTTTAAAGATAATTCGGTGGGGAAAACCGTTTGCCATTAAAGCTACAGTTAGTTTGCTATAGTAACATTTATTATATCAATTTTGAGAAATAAACGTACAAAAGTAGAAAATTTTCTACTTTTGTACGTTTATTTCGCTACTTCATATAGATATACTAGCGGACCCGACAGACGTTGTGTGACAATTTGACACTGCGATGGTAGCGCCGTCTGTCGGATTCAATGTAAAACGTTCCAAAATCAACAACTAATAATAAATTAAAAATTAATTAAAAAAACATTGTCCAGCGGACAAAATTGTGAATCTAAACCATTCCCAGATCCCCTTGAACACACACAAAAAATGTCATCAAAATCGGTCCAGTCGTTTGAGAGAAGTTCAGTGAAATACACACTCACAGAAGAATTATATACATAAAGATACTACTGCATATAGATTTTCAAATAAGTTTTTTTTTTCATATTTTAAGAATTTTTTCTTCATAATTTTTAAACTAATATCTCTAAACAACTGCTTACAAACACGTGATAGTTTAATGTTTTTTAAAACATCAAAACAAAACACGGAAACGATTTGGGGAAAAAAATTACCAGAAATCTATGTCAATCTGCAAACATGTTCGATACCGATATCAAGGTAAGTTTATTCTTAATACGACACCGATTTCCGTTTTAGAATTGTCACTATGATTCATCCTTATGCTTAAATGTACGCAGTACAATTTTACACTTAATTATTTTGACCTAGGTAATGGCCACCAAATAATACCGTAAAATTCCACTGATAAAATGTTTGCATTCAAAATATATTGTTCTCTGTCTCTTTCAAGAGAATGAAAGGGACACACAATATGTTTTTTGCATGTGTCTTAGCAGTCGAAACACAGTTTGTATAATATAAGCTGTTGCTTGCGGTCGTTTAACCTTAATGGTTCGGGTAGAGCCAAAAGTAATTTCTTCTTTTGTTATAAGTATACATAAATAAAATTAGATACAAAGCCTGAGCTGTACTAAGTTAGAACGATATTGTTGACGCCAATATGTTTATTAAAATGCACCTAGAATATGTAAAACTTAAACCTTAAATTGCGTTGTTTTCGTTGTTGACGCAATAAAACTAAACTGCTAACTCGATTTTAAACTTTGTAGTTTTTACTAAAACATAAAGTTCAAAAGAGACAGAATTTAAATAAGATTAAACTTTTGAGAAAGACCAATCGTAGTAAAAATCCCGTCTTTTGCAAAGCTAAAACTATCTACTCGTTTAGTAAACTGCATTCGCATAGGAAATGTGACGAAATCTTTTTATTTTCGCTTTTTATTCCTGTATTCGCCTATAAATACACTGTAATAAAATTTATAACGCTTCCATTGCAGATTTTGTATAATATAAACATTTATATTCAATCAAAAGAGCTTAATTACAATAATAAGTTATTGTTTAAAAAAGTTCATGGCCATCCAGCTTGTGAAGATTGAAAATTAAAACATTCGAATATGTTTTAATATGAACAGAAACTCAATTCTATCGAACATAACGTGTATTGAACATAATCGTAGATGTCGTGGCCAAATATAAGAACTGGCCATTGCATAATGTGGTCGACCAGACAAAATTAATAAGGCCTTTCGCACACATAGCAACGTAAATGATGACTTAATTCAATAGTCCTGAATTTTTTCTTTGAGTTTTTGTTTTTTTTTATATTATTCGGTGGAAATACACGAGTAAGCTCCCACCCGAATACACCGAAATAGCAAAGGGACCTACTGGAATTAATGTTTAGAATTTGTAATTGGCTTTATTATAAAAAAAAGCAACTTTCAGTTTTTTTGCTGTGATGTAAGTTTGAAGTTAAAAATAAGCAGAATACAACGCATATACTTAACAATGCAACGTTGTTTCTAGATTTTATTATGTGTGCAACAAAAAAACCTGTTGGTTACCGCATTCTAATGTAATAATTTCCTATTGAACGACTTTTTATAACTGCAACATAAATATTTACACAATTACTTTTAACCTTGTGATTAAAAGCCTAGATATAGTGAATCTCTGCAATGATTTCAACTTTTAACCCATAAAGTCGGTAACCTGCGGTTCTTGCAGTTCGGATTCTATTTGCTCTAATATTCCCTAAAATCTCACGTTATTAAAATAATAATGAATGCCGTAAAAAATGGTACGGATACGTCGTACCAATGTAACATATTGAAATGAATACACTCTTTGCTTGCCTCTGCTAAAAATGTCACTGTCAATGTCAACTCCACTCCAAACATCAAACCTCAAACGTCAAGTGTGAATTTTGAAATGAAAACATGTCTTGCACGTGCAATTTAATTATTTGATTTGCTTTTATTCTTATTTATACAAGGGATTATGTATATTTTATAATTACAAAATGTTAAAACCAAAAGATTTAGATGACAATCTCCCGGGTTTTGAAGCCGTTGAGAAAAATGAAACAAGTGAGAAAGAAACGCACGAAAATAAAAAGAAAAAGAAGGGATCTGGTGGTTTTCAGTCGATGGGATTAAGTTTCCCAATTATCAAAGGAATAACCAAAAGAGGATACAAGCAACCGACGCCTATACAACGAAAGGTTAAATTAATTTTACAATATTTTAAACCTAACCTTAAATATCAATTCAATGTCTGTTGCATATCATAGTATCGCCAAGATACATGATAAAAATTGAGTGTTTTTAAATAATTTTGACTAAAAATCTGTTTGCAGACCATACCCATTGCCTTAGAAGGTAAAGATGTTGTTGCCATGGCCCGGACAGGTTCTGGAAAAACTGCCTGCTTTGTTCTACCTATTTTGGAGAAGCTGTTATCACCTACTCACAAAGCTCAGCCGGGAAAGAATCTTCGTGCCTTAATTTTATCACCAACAAGAGAATTGGCTTTACAGGTAAGACCATTTTTGCGAAGAAAAAATTTGCTTAATTTGAATTTGCTATAAGCCAACCTAGATAGATTGCATTAGATTACAAATATAGATTGACTGAAATGGAGACAGAGACAATAATTGTATATATTATACACCGAGTGTTTTATCTTATTCTATTAAGCATGCAGTAATATTGACATAAAAAAAATGAAAATTTTATATTTTTGCTTAACCTCACATGTTTCAATGTATGATTACATAACATTGATAAATTCTTAACATGTTACAGACATTAAGGTTTGTGCGAGAACTGGGTAAGTTCACTGGACTGACATCTGCAGCCATTCTTGGTGGGGAATCAATAGAGCAACAATTCAGTGTGATGTCAGGCAAAGCTCCGGACATTGTAGTGGCTACCCCGGGACGTTTCCTACATATCTGTATTGAAATGAGCCTCAAATTGGATAATATTAGTAAGTTTATTGAATATCTTAGATAAAATTAATGTTTCTTATCTGTAAGGTTTCTTAATGTACCATGTTTAATATATTTTTGGCCTATTGTAAAGTATATAAGTTACTTGTATTTGGAATTATTTAAAGAATTTAACCATCAAGTATTTTGTTAATTAATATAAAATTTACTGCGAAGAGTAACTGTTTTTGTTAAAACAAAAATGATTTATTAGTTAGCATCTTAATAAGTTTTAAAGGCAATATCTGATGTTTCACAGAGGTAATGGTATTTGACGAAGCAGACAGACTATTTGAACTCGGTTTTGGTGAACAACTCAGAGAGATAGTAGCAAGACTGCCTTCAAGTCGACAAACTCTATTATTCTCTGCAACAATGCCTAAAATGCTTGTTGAGTTTGCAAGAGCGGGACTAACAGATCCAGTGTTGATTCGTTTGGATGTGGATTGGAAGTTACCATCAACATTGTGGCTGGCTTGGATATCTGTGAGAGCGGAGTTAAAGACAGCTGCTTTGTTGATGTTATTGGATCGTGTTCTTACATCAACGTCACCACAAGCGGTTGTTTTTGCCGCTACGAAACATCATGTGGAGTATCTACATTTGGTAAGTTTAAAGAAAGTTGAAGAAAAATGGCTAATTTTCATTATTTGTGTATAGTGTAGTACAATTGCAGAATCTGTAGCAGTGCTTGCTATTTTGCAAATTCAGGTGGAATCAATCAATTTGTCATCATCTTACTCTTAGCAATATTATAAATGCGAATGTTTGGATTTGGATGGATAGATGATAGTTTGAAAGTATCCCTAAGAATGGCTCAAGAGATCTTGATAAAATTTGACACACATGTAGAACACAGTCTGGAAGAAACCATAGGCTACTTAAGTTATTAGTTATACCGCGCGGACGGAGTCGTGGGCGACAGCTAATATTCTTATAAAAAATTTGTATTTTTAGATTCTACAACAAGCTGGTATTACGTCAACGTTTGCCTACTCAGGTCTGGATCCCTCCGCACGTAAGATTGCCTTAGGCAAGTTTATAAACAAGAAGTGCTCCGTGCTTTTGGTGACTGATGTAGCAGCGAGAGGGTTGGATTTACCTGCGTTGGATACTGTGATAAACTATAACTTTCCTGCTAAACCTAAGTTATTTGTACATAGAGTTGGTAAGTTATATAGAACCTATGTACATTTTTAGTTTTATTTTTGCGTTTAAGTAAATAAAAAAATTGTTAGTCAATTTTCCTATTGTATCTTCCATTTTGGGATGATGAATTTTTTAATTCAATAATATTTCAGAAATAAATACATTGTTGTGATTATTGAACCTTTTTACATAAATCTTGATTTTTTTTAAATCGAATAATTGTACACTTACCTTATCTTTCACATGTTTTCATATGGTCAATCTATTTTACTCGTCTCAACCACTAATATACAACTTTATCATATAAGGTAGGAGTGCCCGAGCTGGTAGAGCTGGACGTGCGTTCTCGCTGATAGCGGCCGAGGACATCGCACATCTGTTAGACCTGCAACTGTTCCTGGGTGCGGAACTCCTGCCACCAGGACAAGAGTACGGGAACAACTGTCCCAGCGGAGTGTGGGGTGCCATGCCTACCACACAGCTGGAGCTGCGCCAGCAAGATGTATTGGCTTGGGAGAAGAATTACTCAGAGATTGTATGTTTATATTTAAACTTTTGTTGTTGAGATTAACAAATGTTTGATTATATCATATATTTTCTTATAGAAAATCTTACTAATATTATAAATGTGATTGTTTGGATAGACGTATGTATGGATGGATGGATGTTTGATTGAAAGTATCTCCGGAACTGCTTAATGGATCTCGATGAAATTTGGCATATTTATAGAGGATAATCTGGAAGAGCACATAGGCTACTTATTAAGTATTTTTTTAAATTCCGCGCGGACGGTGTCGCGGGCGACAACTAGTTCGTAATAAAGTGCAGGAGTTACCATTGGTGTCTGAACAAAATATCTGTATAAAACATATCGTCATCCCTGTCATTATCTTTGACCAAATAGAGATAATGATATGTTTTAAACGGAGACTTTTGGTTTCAGAAACCACGGTTAGGTATGTAGAAAACCATGTTCTCAATTTTAAAGGCAAATGATAGAATTAGAATATATTTGTGTGTACAGGAGGAAGCAGTACGAGTATGCGAGCGTGGTTGGCAGCAGTACGTGCGGTGGCGTGAGTCCGCCTCAGCGGAGGCCAACCGACGTGCTAAGTCCACGCCCGCGCCCGTCGCACCACACCCATACCTCGTTGAATGCGCATCTGGTGATGAGGCTGTCGATATGGTGGCAAAAATCAAGAATTACATGCCTAAAGGGGTAAGTTAAAAACTGTGGGGTTAGTATTTTACAGTATAAATGACAAATTTAGTAATTTACTACAAAACTTTTGCTTTTTGTCTCATTTGGTTTTCTCATATTGAAGAGAAACAGATAGAGTGACATTTAGTAATAGTTATCAATATTAAAATATCTTTTTTTAATCTTTAATTTCTTTTTTCAGACGATATTAGAACTAGGTGGTAAGAACGACTCACCGATGTTCCTAGCGATGAAGGCAAAGCGACGGGTACACGGCAAAAAAGTACAAAAAGCACGCGAAAACAAAAACAATCAGGTAAAACTTTAGCAAGCTAAATTATCACATATGACCCACAATAAATAACTTTGGGTGTCATAATATATCTGTCTACCCCCATTTTGCTGCAAGTGAAACTCTTTTATTTTAGGTTGATAATATATTAGAAGACACAACCAATGTGAAATCTGCTAAGATCTCTCAGAATCAGCCGAAGAAAAAACGAAAAGAAGTTGTTCGGGATGAAAATTACATACCGCACTTTGCTAGCGACCAACACACTGAGTCTGGGTAATTTTTACAGTCTAAAACCAACTTTTCTTTTCTCGAATATCAAACATTCATGTATCATCCAAAGTAATCGTTTCTAAACGTAATTGATTGCTAGTTTTTTTTAGGAAGGTCTTGCTTTCATTCTTATGTGAAGTATAGTCAAGAGTAACTCAACTAAAATTAGTGACCTGCGATTCAAGATTCATGTGTGAAGCAGATCAGTGAACGCTCACAGCTTAGCTCATTTTGTACATACATAGAGTTATGATTTCCGTTTCGAACTGCGAATCAGACATTGCGATAAGATGAGCTGCCGATTTAGCTACAAGTCAACGGCTCATTTTGATTTGAACGTCTAATCGAGTATATTATACCGTATTTTAAAAGTGCACTTAGTATATAACAACGTGGTATTGTATGCAGTATGGCGGTGAACTTTGCGGCGGGCGCGGACGGGGCGGAGCTGGAGCTGGGCGCGGACAGCGGCGAGGCGGTGCGCAGGCAACGTAGTCAGCTGCGCTGGGACCGCAAGCGCAAGAAGATGGTGCACGTCGACCCTGTACGTATACCTTAATGTGCACGCTGATGTTCGTAAATGTTAATTTGCACGTCGACTGTGTACGTATAATTGAGGACAGTCAGCTGCATAAATATGTGTACACAAAAATTTAGAACTTATACAAACCTTTGGTTTAAAAAAATGAATTCATGATTCTGTTCTCATCCGCCCATGAATACATGTTATTGACGGAGCTTAAGTATGTTAACAACATGCCTGTTCAAGGTTCTTATGTTTTGTAAATCTATAAATATTTTTGCAGCTGACTGTACATCGATGTAATATTTATACGTCTTTGTGTACGTTAATTTTGCGTATATAATAAAGTGTACGCTGTTGTACATGTTCAATATTGTTTCAGTTTGAGTTACTACTACTACTACTACTATGTTTGCAGGATGGTGGTCGTAAGATGATCCGTACGGAGAGCGGTGGGCGCGTGCCGGCCTCCTTCCGCAGCGGCCGCTACGACGACTGGAAGAAGAGGAACGCGCAGCACGATGATGATGATGATGACAATAGTCCGCAACAGAACAGGATGAGACCAGGTAATGTTGTTATGATCACGTATTGAGAATGTGTGATTTTAAGAACTAGCTTTTGCCTGCGACTACGTTCGCACATAATTGAAAAAAAATTTAATTAGAAGCCTGCCTTCCAGATTATGTTCTACATCTATGCCAAATTTCAGCAAGACCCGTTGAGTTCTGGGGATACTTTCAAACAAACATCCATCCATCTAAACATTCTTAGTTATAATAGTTGTGGGATAGTTAGGTTCATATTTTAATTTAAATATTACAGCAGTAATAATTTCGGTTTAAAATGTAATTTTTCAAACACTTTAGACTGGATTTGCTTTTTGATTTTATATTTATTTTGGTATTCGACTTTATCTTAAAATACAGATTTGTTTTTGTGATATTTGACGTGTTTTCTCTACCAGCATCTGAGTTCCGTCCTCACTGGGTGAAGCACAACGAGCGCGTGGCCAAGAAGAAGTCTGAGGCGTCTTCTAAGGAGTTCCGCGACAAGCAGCAGATCGTCAAGGAGCGCATGCGCAAGGAGAAGATAAAACAAAAACTTAAACACAAAATGAAGAATAAAAAGAAGAAAAGGAAATGATATAATTCAATAAATATATATATAAGTATATTCTGTTTTTTCAATAATTCTAATAACTTTTTTTTATTAATTTTGAAGTTTACGAAATTTTTTTCATAAAATTCTAAACAATGTCACCCTTCTTTCTGGTATATAGAATTTATTACTTGACTAGATGTTGCCCGTACGCGCGGAATTAAAAAAAATAGTAGCTCATGTGTTCTAGACTATGTTGTACATCTATGCCAAATTTCAGTGAGATCCTTTGAGCCGTTCTGGAGTAACCTTCTAACAGACGTACATCCAAACATTCGTATTTATAATATTAGTAAGATTCAGATTTCCCGAGGTCATATTAAATAGAAAAAGAAAAACTACAGAAAAAAATTCATGATATATGTATAATATTAAAAAAAAATTAGATAAACATTAATGTTACCTACTTACAATTATCTGTACAGAATGATAAATAACATGAATTAATTTAGATGAGAAATTACAATTTCGGGAACTTTGGATGCAAAAAACACATTCATAACCAGATTATATAAGAACAAACATATTTACAAGTTAAATTTCTTTAATCTAATTATAATATTCATCAGATTAAAATATTCAAAGGTACATTCATTATATTACACAATAATTCAATCTCACAACAATATCCAATTTTTTCAAACATATCAAAAATTTCCATTTTCATAATATACAATGCCAAAGTCAGAGTAATCGGTCACTAAAGGAACCTTTAGTGTGATAATCTACACTAAGTAACCGCTCAAGTGACTGAATGCAGCAGTTAGTCAGAGTACTTAATTAAAATAATATTCAAATCAGATTACACAGAAAATGTTTTAAAAAAATGCAATAAAATATATCAAACATGGCTTCTTACAATGAAGTTTACACAGTTTAAGGAAATGCAGAATTAAATGTTAAAATTAGTATGAATTAACTTAAAATTAGTACAAAGATTTTCACCAATAAAGCTTTTAAGAGGCACGCTCTTTTAGCAAATTAAAAACAATTATCAAAAATCAAATAAAAATTATTAGACATTTTTAAAGTAGGTTTCTAATAACTGTAATAATAAGGTTATTGGTTACTCTATAATTATGTTTATAATCTCTTGGCTAATTTGAAAAATCAACTTATGTAGCATAGAACATGCATGAAAGATTAATCATGGATTTCTGAGACCAAAATTCCCGCTTAAAACATATTATCTCTGTTCTGTCAAAGATGAAAGACAGGGATGACGACACATTTTTAACCGACTTAAAAATGGAGGTTAATTCGTCTGTATGTTTTTAATATAGAGATTTCAATGTCAGAAACCCATGGTTAGTCAAGTTGAATACATATTTCAAAATAAATATACATGAAACCTCAAAATTTAAAAAACAATAAAAAAGAAACTTTTCATAGTTACATGAAGCGATAGACATGTTATTTACTTTACATGACAATTACATAATATTAAATTTATATATAAGCAGATATAGTTATATATTTAGCTCGTCACACAAATAGATATATGGAAGTATAATAGTTTATTCAAAGTTATTAATAATAAATTTATCTACATTACCATTCATTCGTAACTTCACATGTCCAATTCTAAACATTGAAGTTTTCATTTCCGAAGTCACATCATCATCATCAGCTCACAAAACATCCCCACCGAGGGGTCACCCTTACCTTAGGGTAGGCTCCGAATTCACATATAACATTCATAATTCACATACAATTTAAAAACTATACAAAGAAATGGAGAGATTAAAAACTAAAATCATACTCACGCCTGAAACAATCAGTCTTCTCATTGCGAAAATTAGTATATTTTCATTTTTTCATATATTTATTTACATTTTTGCACACCCTTGATTTTATTATATAACCTAAAAGTTTAAGACTTTAGTACAAATGGAATTTTAAAATAAAAGAAAAGAATTATTTACATTGTTCAGTTTTCATTACAGATTTGAAATTATAGCATGGTTTAGTAACATAATGTCGTCCAATTTATGTTACAATTTCTATATAGATCTAAAAGTTCACTAAACGAGACTACAATGGACGGGACCAAATTGTATGAATGAATAATATCAAGCGAATTACACTCAAAAAACTAGTTAAAATTTAAGGCTTTACAAAATTATAATGTCCCCTTTATAAAGAGAATTTAAAGACAAAAAACAAATAGCTAACAGTATAAAAAACTATTATTATTTTGATGAAAAACTTTAGAACATGCCATACTTGAAATAACATTCTTTTTCAATCTTATTCAAATAGTATTGATATTCAGATAATTTTCTTTTATACAATACCGCAGACATTGGTCTACGAAAATGTTCCTAGACTCAACAACATGTAGTTCCACAAACTTATCTAAGCCAGAGATGGCGCTGTCATCGCGGTTAGATACACCAAAGACAAAAACATGACAAGACGTCCATTTTAATTTCACTTTTGCCCACATCGTCCGAAAGTGTGGCCGTGGGCATAGTATACTGGTGTAACTTGTATAGTGGCCATAGTATAGTGTTGTAGCTTGTTTAGTGGCAGTGGTATACTATTGCAACTTGTATAGTGGCTGCAGTATACTATTGTAACTTGTTTAGTGGGCATAGTATACTGTTGTAACTTTTATAGCAAGCATAGTATTCTGTTGTAACTTGCATGGTGGCAATAGTATACTATTGTAACTTGTTTCGTGTCCAAAGTGTTCTATTATAAGTTGTATAGCGGCCGTAGTACTGTTGTAAGTTGTGTCGCGGCTATAGTATGCCGTTGGTGTAGTACTGATAGTTGTCGTAGAGGCGTGTGGAGAGCGAGCGCAGTGCGTCGCGCACGAGGCGGTCGACGAGCGCCTGCAGCTGCGGCTCCGTGCGGCCGGGGTGGAAGCGAGCGCGGAATGACGACACCGCACTGCTGCTGCGCAGGCATGATAACTGACCACCTAAACAATATAACAATTAAAAATAAATAAATACTTTAACGAAAACTGCAGTTTTGTGAGGCACTGTGTTTTTCTAAAATTACTATGCAGAAAATGATCACAGTCGCTTGGTGCGATTTGTGATCTACCTATATTATAAAAGCAATGTTGGCTTTGAACTTAGAGAAAAACGTGGATCTAGCAGCCTTTATAAGGCAGCCTTCATCGGCTCTTGAATTAAAAATCTTTTAGAAGTTGGGTTAAATATTTAGGAACTACATGACATATAGATTAGTGTAGTATGTGTATGTACCCATGCGCATGATTTCAACGAGGTGTATGAGCTGGTCGCAATGTTTGCGCGCCGCCACCAGCCCGCGCAGCATCAGGATCTTGAAGTACGAGAACATGTCCGAGTCCTCGCCGTCCATCACTTCCACGAACTCTCGAGTCAACTGTCATACAAATATAAATTCAAAATATTATTAAATTTAAAAAAAAAATCTTTTTAAAATTACCTATTAATATATTTGGGAATGCAATAAATAAATATATTAATTACCTTAAAAGGTGAACTTTCGAATCCTAAATTCTTCGGTGAAGTGGAGAATATAAAACCAAAGTCGATATGAATAATGTGGCCTTCGCTGTCCAGTAGGATGTTACCATTGTGTCTGTGAACAAATAATTTAGTTAGTAATTGAAACTATTTGCTAAGATCCTAAAGAATAAGTATAGCAGATAACTTTTATGGTGATAATATACGGTACAAATGTAAGTGGACAGCAAATTTAATTCTTTGTCTACCTGTCTTTGAGTTGCAGGAGGTAGCTGGTAAGTGCATACGCAGCGGCGGACTCTACGAAGTTGTTCTGTGCGCGCAGGAAGCCCTCGCTATTGGGCGGGCCGTGCTCCAGCTCCAGCCATGCACGCAGCGACTTGCCCGACTGCTTCTTTATCTGGTGCAAGGACACCGTATTCAGCACCTGTCACACGAAAATAAATGATTAAAATAACAAATCATTTCGATTTTCTTAGGTCCATCCATAGATAAGTAAAAGAGAAGAACAAGAGGATTAATTTTATGACACCTAATTCAAATAATACTATTTTAGCATTTTACTTAAAAATTGTATTATACTATTTTTAATTAATTAGCAATGTTTAAATTTTATTATAGTTAACTCGATATATTAGCACTTGCGTTCTTATGTGCATATGGCTACTGTTTCAGTACATATGACGTGTCATGTGTACTGACCGGCTGTATGAGGCCGCACTCAGCATCCAGACATAGTATCTCGTAGGGGCGCAGTCTGAGCGGCACTCGCTCAGCGCGCCAGGCTGCGCTCAGCCGGCGCAGCAGCTGCGCAGCGAGCAGCTCCTGGCGCAGGTCGTCGCCCACCTTCACGATGCAGCCCAGCAGCCGCCAGCCTGATAGAGAGCCGTACGGAGATGATGACCGCATACGAGCTAGTTTGCTCTCCCATGACTCCTGGAATGATACAGATAAAATATTAGCTTATTCTTTGAACTATGTGCCGCCATTCGATTCCTTTTTCTAGAGGTCAATATTATTATCTTTTTACTATTATGAGGTGATTAGCAAGCAAGCGGTCACCTGGATTCGTCGTAATGACGAAGCGACAGCTGCCCGTGGACATCTACAATGCCAGATGCTTTATCTTTAATCGACGAAGGTGGAGACACAAAGATAATATTTCCCTTATTGTGCGCCACATCCTTCATCAAATCCACTTCCCCGTCCCATCCTTTGCTTATAATAAAAGGGTGGGAAGGGAAAGTGAACTCAAATTAGACCTTAGGAGGGTATTACGATAGACATGGTGCGTGTTACCTTGAGAGCGAGTGCTGAAGGATCTGCGGGGTCGTGTCGGAAGGCGTTGGGTGGCGGCGCGGCGGTGGCGTCGGCCAGGCGGCGGCGCACCTCGCCCGCGCCCACAGCCAGCGACTCGCGCGACCCACACGACGACGCTGACTGCAGCGACGCCGCCGACATGCACGACATCTGCACGACACATTTACACACTCATTCAATATTCGATGACTAAGAGAGGTATGAGAATGCAAAAAAGAGTGAGAGTGAGATAGTAACGGTTTCAGCTCAACCAGTTCTTGTATGACCTTGTATGGCGTCATTTTGCCCTGCTTTTAGAGGGTTGGGGTTAACGTGATTACGTAAGACTGTTTAAGTAGCAGATGTATAGCCTTTATTATCCAGTGATTAAGCTGGTCGGTCGCCCAACAGCGTCCTACCCTAACACCGACTCTGGCGTGAGACAGGGAGACACGGAGACAGTAATTGAAAATAAGTGTTGCCAGCTCTATGATTGATATTTCTAAGATAATTAATCATCATCATCAGCTCACTATACCCCACCGAGGGGCTCGGAGCCTACCCTAAGTTAAGGGTGACTAGGCCATAAGATAATTAATACTAACTATTTATTCGTTTTTTTTAATAAATATAATAGAACAATAACCAAATAACCGAAGATCGGTCCTGCTAATATAAATTGGATGCTATTTTTTTAAACTTATATTGACCTTGCTCTGTTACAATATCGTTGCCAATTCATATACATGTTATCAATCGATGAATAGTAATTCTATACAATGTTTTATGACAGTCGACGATGAAGTTCGCTCGCTGTAAAAACTATTCAAAGCGACGAGTAGTGTTTTTAAAATATGAAAGGATAACATCGTAAGAACGGACTATTTAATGTAAACATTGACTACCCAAACGATATTTCCAATATCATACATGTAAAAGGAATGTACTATGGAAGAATTTTTACTATATATTCTCATCTAAACAGGTGCAATACAAAATATGATTGTGATACTTTGATATAAATAGAGCGAAACCTGTGTGCTATTACTTTTACTTTCCACTTTTGCTTCGAACCAGATTAGTTCGTCTCACTATACTATCCTTAAACTGTTGAGTACTAACCTAACGATTGGATATGTTTTATACAGATGATTGTTATAGAAACCCACTCAAGTAATATTAAACTTAGTACCTGCGACAGTGTATCTGGTGCGGGTAATCTGGCAGTAGCGGCGTAGTGCGTCAGATCATCATCATCATGGCTCCAGCAATCACCGGCATCATCTTCAGGGGCTGTGTAGGACATTAGCGCCGGCCACTCAGGCACCAGGTTTTCCTCGCTCTTCGTGTGCCTAATTGGAGGGGAGTGAGGCGCAGGCGGCGCGGGAGGGAGCAAGCGAGACGGCAATGGTTCATGCCCTTCAGTCTCTAATACTTCCACGTACATTATGTATGGCGCCTAGAGAGGAAAGATAATGCTTAATACAGACTCTTGCTGTGATTTGTTGTCTCTGTTTTATTCGAATAAAATGTGAAGGACGACATGTGGCAATACTGATGCGAAACACACTTCACAGTACAATGGTACACATTAGAATGGGCACCGTTTCTGAGACCAAAATATCCGTTTAAAACATATTGTCACCCTTGTCATTATCATTGAAAAACACAGGGATAGCAATATGTTTTAAACGAAGATTTTGGTCTAAGAAACCCACGGTAAATAAATCTATGATAAGTAAACGTATCGTACACATTAATCTTTTTATTTCAATGTAGATCAACAAATTCGTACAATTCGAGCAATAGTAACCTTGCATTAATCCCACGCATCGATTAAGGTCACCTCCCACGTAGAACAATCATAACTCTAATTCGTACACTACGGGAACATATCATAAGCGTAAATTATAAAAACATCCTTATTGTTTTCGGCATTCATTTAATTTAAAAAATATGACTACTTTAATATTATAAATGCGTAAGTTTAGATGGATGGATGTTTGTTATGAGGTATCTCTAGAACGGCTCAACGGATCTTAATGAAATTTGGCACAAATGTAGAAGATAGTCTGGAAGAACACATAGTCTAGTTTTTTATTCTGAGCGAATGAAGTCGCGAGCAACAGCCAGTACAACATATCTTTTCTAATAGCAAATGTTTCTATTTTATAACGAGTTATCTATTTTTCGTTCATATCTTGTATCCGAACGAAGCTGAATATAGTAAGAATATATTATTTGTCTGAGACATTGTTATACAGTACACAATACAATCCAATTGTTATTTCCATTGACATTAATCTAAGAAACCTTGCCTGTGAAGCAGTTCGTAGAAAACTAGTCTTATGTAAAGTGCTTCGCGTAATTTAATTTACATTTCTCATTGTACAGTTACGAGGAAAAGAGTTGCTTAAATTTGTAACTTTTATTATATTAAAAAATATTTTTGATGGGGCATAAACGTCGACATTTTAGTTAGGAATGTGTTGCGCCAGTACACCGGCACAGTGTCGGATTTTCTTCCTAACAGTTTATATCTAGACTCTATATGCTTGTAGACAACAGTACAGCTGCGTAAACTAGTACTGTGTCGTAGTAATGTTAAACATCCGCTCCAATGTTGAACATTCACTTGTCCTCGCTTTAACTAATATGGTTTGATTTATCTGAGTTTGGACACAAAGACATATCACATCCGGTTACAATGGCTAGATTTTCTTTAAATTCGAAAATGTATTATACTATTTGAGGAGTTACGTGTTTGGAGAAGGCACTCATTATTATCCTTAGACATTGTATATAGGTCCGTGCGGAATTAAAAATAACTTGATTAGTAGCCTATGCGTTCTTCCAGACTATGTAATAAATCTATACGAAATTTCACCGAGATCACATAAGCCGTACTAGAGATACCTTCTAACAAATATTCGTCCTCCCAAACATTCGCTTTATGTTAAATCTACCAACCCGCACTAGGCCAGCGTGGTTACCTAGTCCTATGACCTAGTCATCTACAACTTAGGGTATGTTCCTAGCCCCTCAATGAGGACGTACAGTGAATATAATCGTACCTTATCTTTGCTATTAAGCACAGCAGCTGCATGCGGTGGTATCCGCAGCACATAATGCGGCCGGTGATGCAGCGGCAGCCACACGCGCGCTGGCAGATTGAGATCGAGCGAGGCCAGCTCTGCTCGTAGACGACCGTTACGACGCTCCTTGTCCGCCACGCCTGCTAGTAACCGGCCGATGTTTGTCAGCGCAGTTAAAAACTGTAAAGATTGATATAAAATATTAATCCATCTGACTCTATTATGGGTTACAATGTCAACTAAAATATATATTTTTTTAAAGACAGAAACACTCTTGGGTCCACATCGGTTTTCATCTCGCACGCTTTCACTATACCCTAATACCTATATTATGCTTAGCCGTAATTTTTTTTTATCAAATATAAAAACCTAAGATATTAAGCCGATGAAGAAAAATAAATAAATAACACATATTTTATTGGCAGTTAAGTAGGCTGTCGACGTACCGTGACCCCAATACGGAGGTTAAATTAAATAAGCCTACAGAGAATAACCCGATTAGGCGCCTACAATTTCATTAAATCACGGACATAGGATGAGGGTTAGAATGTTTTAAAAGAAAATGGGGGCATGACCTAAAATATTTTAATTCTTTATCCTTTATTATATAAAAAAATATATTTTTAATCTTACTAATATTATAAATGCGTATGTTTGGATGGATGGATGTTTGTTTGCAGATATTTCCAGAACGGCTGAACGGATTTCTATGAAATTTGGCATACATTTAGAACAGTCTGGAAGAACACATAGGCTACTAATTATGTTTTTTAATACAGCTTGGACGGAGTCGCGGGTGACAGTTAGTCTTTAGTAAAAAATCTTTTCATCTATTTTATTTAATTTTTTTTCTAATTATTTTTGTTAAAGAATAATTTGCTTTGAGTTTTAATTAGATACGATTATAAGCCATAGGAAAAACCCTAGACTTGTTTTACAATTGTACAATTTGTGTGCAAAGGCATATACAAGTATTATGTCATTTATTGTAGAGGCGTGCCCTCACGTGATAATAATGGTATCTTGTCACGTTAACACGCTACTTTCTGTTACTGTCAATTAATGTTTTACAATATATATTATTAATCTAAAATCACTTCTTTAATTTCTTCAGACAGGTACAAACATGTTGAAAAAAGTTCAATGCTTTTTTCAAATCTGTTTGCAAGACATGCATTAATAAAGAATGTGCTCGTATAATAAATAACATACTAAGAAATTAAACATTAAGAAAGTAAAAAAAAAAACTAGACAATTCTTAACAGCCCGAACCGAGGCTCCTGAGGGAGCCCTCGAGTCTTGTTACTCTTAAACGAGGTTCAGCCCGGTGAAGCTGTAAATGCCTCTTCAAGGCAAACAGTGACTCAGTTACAAAAAAAATAGACAATTCTTATCAACTAGACAATTGAACTCTTAAAAAAAGTTATTTTTATCTTAACATAATAGCTTTAATACAATATTATATCCAGAAATAGTTAAGTAATGATTCATTGTACTTAAAAACACGCAATATTTAGGGGTGTCCCATGACTCATGACAATCAATATCTATAATTGCAAAGTAACCACCGGTTGCCGGTTAGGGGTTGTTTAACGATTGCACTCCCCGATAAAGGAAAGTCCATAGTCATTACGTCACTATTCCAAATCAATACCGTTGAAAATGTTTGCTGAACTTTCATTGGGAAAACCGAGAACTAGATTTTGTTCCTTTTACAACACCAAGGGTTGTTTGATATAGATTTTGTGAGTAAATGTTGTTGGCGTTCTTCCTAATATAACAACTATTCTGATAAAATTGTTAGTTTCCTATTGTTAGGAAAATAAACCGAAAATGACCCAGTGTATTGAGTCTATTAGCCTTACTATTTATGTTATTACTTTATATTTTATTTTATTTTATTATTATTATATTTTATATTATTACTTATGTTTTAACATCGACGTTTATGTTCCGTCACTATTCATTCTGACACTGGACTTTGTAACAAAAGCACGTCATTCGCATCAAATGATTCTAACTAATAATGTCTAAAACTATATTACATTTATGATGTACCAATTTCAGAACAACATGCATTACATTAACCCTGTCCTTATAAGACATAGGGTTGGCGTTTATTTGTTCCATTTCTTTTATTTAACTTAACAACAGTTTCATAGATCATTGGTTAATACATATTACAGTGACAAAAATGTCATTATTTATATGATAGATTAACTAAAAAATAATTAGTGGCATGTCGACACAACCGAGATAAAAAGGCGACATTGTTCTTACTATGTACAAAGTACGAAACATAGAAAAGTTACGTGATTATTTCAGTTCTGTCCTATCAAGAAACAGGGAAACAATAATCTAAAACAAACAAAAAGGTCCACGAGTACGTAAAAATATTTATAATATATTAGTTCTTGAACAGCATGTTTATACGAAACTTTATCAACGCAAACGTTCAACATTATATAAAAATTATTAAAATACTTCTTTGTTAGCTTTAAAATGATTTGTTAAAATATGACCTGGAATCGAGATTCGCCAAATACTTTATACTTTTAGACATTATTAATTACAATCCTTTGGCGCGAATGGCGCGCTTACATTGCAAAATCAAGTGTCAGAATGATTAGTGAGGGGACATAGACGTCGACATTTTAGTTAGGCTAGTGTTGTGCCAGTACACCGGCACAGTGTCGGTTTTTCTTTCTAACAATACATATTTTATAATTTCTACGTAATACCATTATCTGTAAGGATTAAATTAGTCTTTATCTTTTAATATTTAATCGATACTATAGCATATTAACATCGGATATCTAATGCTGTTACTAACAACAATTTCAGCAATGAATTGCTTGACTCTATAGAAAACTTTTCACTTTCTCATCATAATTGATACAAGCTCCCTCTAGTAATAATATCAAAGTTTACAAATATCACTATGGCGTTGTGATACAACGGGCACACTATGGAAACTAGTCGACGGAAGTCCGTTCTAATCAAACACATTCACATATATTTATATGTCTATCACGCCTCCATGTCGCCAGTTATATTGGCGCCACAAGTAAATACTTAATTACCTTAAAGTGTTCTTTGAACCTTATAGCAATCAATGAGTCATTTTAACTGACTGAAATAGACTTACTTAAGCCACTTGTTGCCTCAAAATGTGTCGCAAACTTATTCTTTGGTGTTATGACACGTTAGTATTTTATTTGAAAAAAAAATAAACTTTAGTTTGCATGTAACTTACTGATTGGAATATTTTGAAATTTGTTATTGTATATTTTATATTTTCTTGTGCTATGTATAAATGGATTAAAGTTATTGAATGAGAACTTAATCAATTGAAATTGTTATAAATTAAAGTCTATAAAGACATAAAATAATAAATAAATTATTAAAAGCTTATATCATAAAACTGTTATTATCATATGATAATGTATTATACATCATTTTTATGTGACATGCACGCACAATTCGTTCATTAAACTCGATTAATTTTGCACTCATATCACATTCTTATTTACGTGTTGAACCTACATTATGTTGTGTAATTTAATCAGCTTGCTGCAAGTACGCTATTGCCCACAGCGTTAAAATGAAAGTTAAAAATAACTTTATTTATTGCCGTGCTTAAGTTGTATTTTTGTGTAAGTGCAATTTATGAAAATATAACCCTAACCTGTGTCTGCGGGGCTAATCTGGGTGCGCCACATGAGCATTGTTCTCCGCAAAGGCAGCCGTTGTCGAAGGCGCGACCGGACGCCAGGTCGCCAAGATGCCGACCTGAGGGCGTAGTGATCCTGAGCGCGGAGGCGTCCGACTGCGACCTGTGATGGCCTCGCCGCGCCGCCGGCCTTATCTCCTCCGCCAATATCGAGTCTCGCAGCTTGGCCGCCTTGGACCTCTTCGAGTCACCACCGAAGGCCGTCAGCAGCCACGCGAGCCGCAATGAGAATTCAGCGCTTTGTTTGCAGCGGTGCACGAGGTACGGCCGCAGCACGTCCGCTACATCACTCATCTCTATGTACATGGTCGCCAGCTGCGGCAGGTAAAAGTCCACGTCCTCGTAAGGGAACGAGAACAACTTGTTGGCCAGGTACGTCTGGACGCCCGATTCTTTGGAGTTGAATAAGTATGATATCGCCATGCTCATATCGAACAATTTGCTTTCAAATAGTCTGAGGAGAAATCCCTTGTTCTTAGAGGTCTCCGCCACCGATATTTCATTAGGGATCGACGGTATTGTGTCGGGAGGGTCGGGCGGCTTGTCCGTGTCCTCGGGATTGCCGGAGTCGAGGCTCTCGCGGCTGCGCGCGGCGGCGGGAGGCTGCGGCCGGTCCTCATCGGCGCCGTCGGGCGGCGTATGGATGCCGGAGTCGTCAGAGCCGGCGGGCACGCCGGGAGGAAGTGCGAGCCGCGGCGTTGCGACGTCACCGGGCAGCCGCAGCGGCGCACCTTCGGGTGACGTCGGCGTCATGTCCTCCGGTATCCTCTGCAGGACCGAGTCCAGCGATCTGTTTCTCTGGTGGCCACATCCCGCTGGTGGCCCACTCGCACCCGTCACATGTCTGCGAACAAAACACACAGACGGTTAAAACTCTCACGACTAAATTCGCTACAAAGGATACAATCACAAATCACGTTTATTTATACACAACGTACTTATAGAAAGGGTCTTCGTAATAACGTATACCGACAACGACAATTTTTCGAACCATTTGATATGTTATAAATCACGAGTTAGTCACAAACTGTTGACACGAGCACACCAAACACAATTAGCGTTTCTCACACAGCCATGTCTGCACGCATAGTGTGTACTGTGTACATGAGCGCGGGAAGTACGTACTCCAACGATCGTAGGACGGCAGCAATACGCACGACCTAGCTGCGAGCGAGCGCGCGACCGACTGCTTTGCGCAAGGAAACAGCAACACCGCCTGCATACCATTCGAATAAGGATCACCTCGATTACGTCCGCGGCCGAAACGCGACCAAACAACTGGCGAAACGCATAAACAAAACATTTAGGTTCAGATCGACGTCATTTACTTCTATGTATGTTATTGAGCAATTGTGCAAACAGACGCACGATTAAGCAAATCTACGTTATTACTTCAGAAGTCAAAATTTGTTGAGCTTATTATTGTAAAGTACAATATGAATTCTTTCTCTGCTGTTGCTGTATTATCAGACTTATCATGATTATCAAAATGAACACCTTGCTTGTATTAACTAGAAACGCTATTGTTTATGTGTACTTTACATTAAAAAAAATATATTAAATCGTGATTTTTAATTAAATTTACTAAGATCAATATTCCGATCCGTTGAATAAGCTATCACATATTTATGAATAAATCTTGATGGATCCGTGTCACGATCGTTCCTCTACACTCTTTGACTCTTAATCCTTACGCAGCTCAAATCGACTTAAGCTCTGGTTGTAAGACGTTTCAGTAAGGAATGGAATTTCATTCCTAACATCGTAAAAGGTTAACGCGGCTGCCAAATTCGTATACGCCGATTGAATTTCAAAGCAATTCCTTATTAGACATAGAACATATTAAATCAATTGCGTCGAGTAAGCGACGCAAAAACAGTTAGTTAGCAATGTAAATATGTATCTAAACATAGAGTCGGCTCGTGCAATATTTGTATGCGACGTCTGAGCGCAGCTGTGAACGGGTGAGTCCGTGACATAAGATTTACGAAAGCATAATATAAAAAGCCCGATGGAGAAAGCGGACGACGACCTCGTACAATTTGTAGCGTTCAATCAATTTAGAGAAGCGTAATACGACGGCTATTGCATTGAGATTGAGACGCAAGCGAAAAGCAGCAATAGCCAAAACAAAGTCTGTGAGATACTCTGTTTTAATCCGTGATGCGACTATACTATTCTTCCAGCAGTTTTAACAACAATAAGATTAATTTGACGACAAAAATGCATATTGATTCTCTTGAATATGTCTAGTTGTAGTCATTATAAAATAAACCAGATTTTGAAACCCAAAAGTAAAAGCACAAAAACGTTACTAAAAAGCTTAACAAAATTTCCTAACCTATTAAAAAGGGAAGCAAAGGAAACGTTTATAAAAAGAACTCTCAAATCGGAACAAGAGAGCGAGTGGGCAATGAATAGTACGTTTATATTTGGAACGTTATCGGGTCTGTGCGTGCGCAGATGTGCCGACGATGAGCTAACGACGAGGGCTACAACGCCCATTCACTTCTACTAATGACCCTAATTCAAACAAAAAGAAATACTTCGAATGTTTTAAACTTTGTTAATGTTAGTTTCTTCAGTATTGAAAAAACGCCCTTCACCCTAGGGTTGCTGTTTTATGTATCTGTTAAAAGAATTACGGGAAATAGTGTTTACATAATAATAACAGCTTTCTGTGGAATGTAATAACGTTCACAGAACGTGTATTGGAATTAAATAAAAACAATTAAATGAAAAGTGACGTCACATCTAAACAAAACACACTTTGAGTGTTAAAATGTGATTGAAAGATCAAAGCTGATTTTAAATACTAAACTCACAATGAAATCCGAAAATATTTTTTTCTATTCCGTGTTGTGATCAAGAATATAAACTGTGGTGATTTTAATGATCGATTAGTGACGATAAACTACGTAACGGCTGGAACAAAGCCAACACATTACTGCATCTCTGTTTGATGTTCTTTTATTAACGTTGTCCTAATGGATATGTATAACGACAGTAATAAAAATTAACACGACTGATAATAAAAAAACCTTAAAAACAAACTATCGATACGTCTTCAAATTTTTTAAAGAGAAATCTTTGAAAACATTTAATTAAGATGGACCAATCCAATATCTTAAATTAATTAGTTGTTTATTACATAAAAGGTTATTTCGAGAATATTCCAAATGTATATGAAAAACAATCCAACATAAAAATAAATTGATATCTCAACGGCGCCATACTGATGCCAATTGACGTTCGCTTCGTTGAACAATCATTTGACATTCAATCATCAACGACAAAAATAGACTTACAATTACGGAAAACATTGTTTTTTTTTTGTAATTTATAAAAACCTATAAACATCCGTTTCCTTAATTGACGATGATATCAAGGAAAAGTAAAACAAAAATACTGTATTTCTTAAAACCTCAAAAAGGAAAATGTACCTGAGTCAATATTTCTTCATCATCAATATATTTGTATAAAAGTATTGTATTGAATGCAAAGTGCAAACGAAAATGTCGTATGTACTTTTATTACTATGGAGCTAGCAGCTTATATATGCATAAATTCTGGACAAGAGTCCATATAAATTGAATTCCAAATCATATATAGCAACGTACAAAGTATACTGTATCATAATCTTACCTAAATTATAAATGCGACAGTTTATACCGATGATTGGATATATTTTTTTATATATCATAAGGTGGCAAACGAGCGAGCGGCCACCTGAAATCGCTGAAATAGCGAAGTGACCGTTGCCCATTGCACATACGCAATTGGATGTGCGTTGCCTGCCTTTAATCGACGGAGAGGATGCAGAGAAAGAAAATATTTTCCCTTCCCATGCATCCTCTCATCCGGAAAGTCCACTTCCACTTCCCATCCTTTCCTTATAAAAAAGGGTAGGAAGGGAAAGAAGACTAAATTAGGCCTCCGGGAAGTACACTCATCAGACGAAACGCGGAATTGCTTCCACTTGACGCCTATCTTCTGTGTGGTCGTGGTATTTCACCGGGCGAGCCGGGCCGATTCGTGCGAAGATGTTAAAGCGGGCTCTACCACCGTTATATATATTTTTTAGAAGGTATTTCCGGAACGACTCAACAGATCTTGATGAAACTTGGCACAGATGTAGATCATAGCCTGGAACATATAGGCTACTAATTAAGTTTTTTTTTTTAATTTGCGGGCGACACCTAGTTGATATTAAAATAGAAAAAGAAACGAAATATTCAACGTGAGTTTTGCGTAATACCAATGAGGACGTATAAAACTTTTCCATTCATGACATAATCATGTTAAAACATACTGTGTTAAAATTCGATCAGGTTAATGCATAGGAAATACAATTTCACATTTAGAGTAGTTTTTAAAATTTATCAAAAAACTTGCGCAATGAATCTATTAAGATAGTATGTAACATGGAATTATACTTTGATGTTCTTTAATTACTAGCTGTCGCGACTCTGTCCGCGCGGAATTAAAAAAAATACTTAATTAGCCTATATATTCTTCCAGACTATGGTTTACATCTATGCCAAATTAAATTGAGATCAGCCGTTCTGCAGATATCTTCTAACAAACATCAGCATTTATAACATTAGTAAGATGTAAGTAGAATGATTAGTGTTTAGCTTCTGTATGGATGCATTCTACTATTTTAATTTCTTTTCAATCTCGTAATCATTTATGCATTCTCTTTCACTATTGCTTTAGCAATACCACTTTTAACTAACTTATTTATTAAAACTAAACAAACAGGTTATTTATCTTTAGCCAGTACCAAGAACTCGTTCATAACAGCATAATTGGTCATATCATCGTTTAGTAATGGACACCTTCTTCGTAATACTATATCGATACTGCTTCTTCAGAATTTTAAAACTATCCATTGTATGACCTTGAATCTGAACCAAGCTATTAGAAAACTAATGACAGTATAATTTTTACGATAAGGTTACGTTTTTCTCTTACTACGAATATAAAGAGAAAGGATATGATTCAGTTTGTTTGCATTGCCCTCCAAACTACTGTACAGATTTGAAAAATTCTTTCACCTTTGGAAAACTATACTCCAGGTGACGTCACCATCATCAGCTCAATATACGTCCGCATCGAGGGGCTCGGAATCTACGCTAAGTTAGGGGTGACTAGGCCATAGTTAACCACGCTGGCAAAGTGCGGGTTGGTTGACTTCACACATATCTTTTAATTTATTCTCAGATACGTGCAAGTTGCATCACGATGTTTTCCTTCACCGTAAGAAAAGTCTACAGGTGACATAGGCTATATTTATTACTATATGTTTTTTAATTCCGCGCGGACTCAGTAACGGGCAACTGCTAATATCTAATAAAATGTGTCCTGTATTACATCATATTCATCTCAAACATTTCCTACTCAGCTGTGACACGTATATTCCATTTCGGTTGTGCAAACTTTCCGTTCAGCTACAATTGGCCAAATAATACGATCAATTTCAATAATTATTTTAAAAATAATCACAATCTTACTAATATTATAAATGCGAATGTTTGGGTGGATGGATGGATGTTTGATACATTCTGTATCTCGAGAACGGCTGTATGGATCTTGGTGAAATTTGGCATGGATGTAAAACAGTCTGGAAGAACGCAATGGCTACTAATTAAGTTTGTTTTTAATTCCGCACGGACAGAGTCGCGGGCGACAGCTAGTCTGCTATAGTCTCAATATTTTTGAATTTGAGAAATTTTAGAGGAAAATTATTTTATACAGTTCATGAATGCCGTACATCAAACTTGCTTAAAGCGTAACAAACACAGAAATTCTCAACAAAAGTGACGTCAATGACAAAACAACGTGGAATTGATTTGAGCCGGTGCTTTGCATTGTTGTGCATTTGCCGGTGAAAGCCGCGGTACTGGAATCTAAAGAAGATCAGATTGATTATCGTACTACCAATGAATTGATTGTTTTACATTGCTACTGATAAGAATTCCGATTACACATAACATAAACTAAAGGAATCAAAAAACATAACAGCTACAGCATGAAAAGGATCTTGTGTTGAGCAGCCATAATTTGCTTAATCTTCTACCCGCCCACCAGGTCAGATAACCTAATCATTGTATATTTAAAAAACAATATAAACCTCATTTATGACATATGCATTATCATAAACCGCGACG